GACTTCCTTCCCTACCTGCTCTATCCCATGCATAATCTTATAAACCTCGATCACGTCACCTCTCAGCTGTTGTTTCTCCAAGCTAAAGAGCCCCAAGCGTTTTAACCTGTCTTCATAGGGAAAGTGTTCCGACCCTTTTATCATCCTAGTTACCCTTTTATCATTCTAGTTGCCCCCCCCCCCGGCTCCCCCACCACTTTCTAAAAACACTTGGTGGGCACTTGGGAAGGAGTCAGTGGGCACTGTGTTAGCAACTCCTGCCCTTGGATTTGGGGGGGGGGGTTTAATCAAACCTGGTATAAGCCATCCAGTTTGGTAAGCTAATGACTGGTGCTGTTGTCTAATGATCCTTCATCTACAAGTCTTATTTGGTGTTCATCCAAATTTTAATATCAGAATCTGGATTTTGGTGTGTTTTTTTTTTTGTTAATAATTGCTTCAGATTTCTCAGACTTCACTCAGTGTGCACGTGTAAAATGTTAAATACTTTCGACAGAAGAAGAGCCCTTTTCAAGTCCGAGAGTTCCAGAGCGAGTCCTTTTCTGCAGTGGCCCCAAAGCTCTGGATGATATTGCCCCATGGGAGGAGATGCATTGGCGGTTGCGTCAGGAGAAGTTCAGTCAGAGTTGCTTGTGTGGGCGAGTTTGGTTTTTGGAAGATGGGCTGCCGGAAATGACACTGCCCTGTGACAAAATGAACTTCGTCTAGTGTTTTTGCATAACTTAGAAAGATCTTCATCGTGTTACGTGTAAATTTGCTGTTTAGCCTGTCTATAAGTTTGAAGTCTACCTTCCTCCCCATGTTCCTCTTAGTTAGCTCTTGCTGTGTGTGTTTATTGTGTGCGTTTTGTTTTATTCTTTCTCTTTGTCCTAATAAAAACCTTTCCGGTCGAACACCTGCCTGGTTTCTTTGAGGGTTCTCTTGAGGGGAAAATCCCCGTATACGTAGGTGGAGAATCCCAGTTACCCCCTCTCGCTCTGTCTCCTTAGAGCTAATTTCCCCAGCTAATTAGGAAGACCGCCTCTTTGGGTAACAGTTAAGCCAGATAGTGCCTTTCAGGCTGGGGAAATAGCAGAGAGAGGGAAGGCCAAAGTTCCTTCTCCACGCACACCACAGTTGCCATCTGAAGTGGGAACCGTATGTGCAGGAAGTGAGGACAATCCACAGCATGTGTGACTCTCGGGATCTGAGGATTAGCTCAGAGAAGAATTCTTGTATTGAGCAACGACTACTTCAGAGATGGTCTTTCTCGTGCTCCGCTGTGGGTTGTTAGAGTGAGCGAGCCGCGCGTGCATGCAAACCGAGCCAGCCTTTAGGTTTGAGAGTTCAACTTCTGCCCTCTGGACGCTGGGAACAAAAATGCAGCCCCGGACCAACAAGATTAATGTGTTTTTCTCATATGAGATGATGCATTTCAAAGCACCACCCACTCCTTTTGTATGCGGATTATATTCTGCAGCGCCATTGTATACGGCGCTTTGCAGAGAAGCCCAGCAAATCACGCAACTGGATTTAAAATCAACAGTCCTAAATATTAACTTTAGGAAAGGCCTGCTTTATTCCTGTTTGTTACAGACGTTATGCTGGAATAAATGTTGTTAGTCCTGAAGGTGTTACTGGACGCCTGTTTTTATTATGCTATAATTTAGTATTTATTATTTAGTATGGAGCTGCGGTGGCTCAAGTGGTTAAGACGCTGAACTGCAGGCTGTGGAAGGTCAGTAGTTCAGCAGTTCGAGACCTGAGTGTGCCGCAAGACGGAGTGAGCTCCCATCTCTAGTTCCAGCTCCTGCCAACCTAGCAGTTCGAAAGCAAGAAATTGCAAGTAGATAAATAGGTACCACTTTGGTGGGAAGGTAACAGCCTTGGTGTTTAGCCATGCCGGCCACATGACCACGGAAACGTCTTCGGACAGCGCTGGCTATTCGGCTTTAAAATGGAGATGAGCACCGCAACCCTAGAGTCGGACTCGACTGGCTTTCGAGCAAGGGAACCTTTACCTTTACCTAATTTAGTATTTCTCAGTGGACTAAGTGGATCTCTGCAGCCTTTGTGGATTTTAGAGTCGCCAGCCCGGAGTTGGGAAATACCTGGAGATTTTTTTGGGGGGTGGAGCCTGAGGAGGGCGGAGTTTGGGGGGGGGGTGGGGCTTCAGTGGGGTCTAATGCCACAGAGTCCACGTTCCAGAGTGGCTGTTTTCTCTAAGAGAACAGATCAGTTGCAGGAGAGGTTGGCAACCGCGTTGAAACTGTATTGTACTGGTCGTTCTAATGGGATTAGTTGTTCTTGTATTGGTCGTTTTTATGGGATCGATTGCTTTAAATACTGGAGAAGTGAACAGTGGCTCACAAAAGCTCCTCCCCGGCCACAAATTTTGTTAGTCTTTTTAAGGTGCTCCCAGACCTTAACTCGCTTAATGGAACAGCCACATAGAATAAACGTCAGATATTTGAGAGCCCCAGGACATGAACAGATATCACACACATGTTTTTATTGAAAAACACACTACACAGGGATTATTACTGTGATAAGTGCGCTAAACTAAATAATACCGTACTGCAAAAATCAGAAAATATATGCTGTTTAAATAAGTTAAAGTGATACGCTTTTTCAACAAGGTTGGAATACAAAAATACAGTCAGTTTCAAATAAACAGAAACAGTTTTTAACGAAGTAGATGATGTTAACGACGTTCTCCGGAATGTCCTGTGTCGTTTCGACGTTCCTTCTTCTGAACAAGATTCTATAGATAATTTCCAGTTTTTTGTCTCATCTATAAGAGTAGAAAGGAAGCCTGATCCTCATCAATGCTCCCTCTAAGCTGTGAGCCAAAATTCTACTTTGTGAGCCAAAATTCTACTTTGTGAGCACCTGGCATTAAAGGTGTGAGCGATCGATTTGGCTGCTGCATAAATTCGTTTGCTCTGGAGCCCCATCCTTTCCATCCTTTCCTGAACGAGCACGAAAATGTGTGAGCTGGAGGCTAAAAAACTGTGAGCTAACTCACACTAACTCAGCTTAGAGGGAACACTGATGCTCATATATTTTTTCTTCATAGGTCAACAACAAAGCACAATTGCTAGTAGAAAATTCATTTTGGGTGAGTTACAGTGAAATGGATTGCCTTGAAAAATAGGCAAATTTGCTTTTTGTTAACAAAGTTAGACTGTGTGAAAGAGCCGCATGCGGCTCCTGAGCTGCAGTTTGGTCACCTGTTTGGTCACCCTGTCGGGGACTCTTAGGCGGAATCTGCATTTGTCTTTCCCACCAGTGTCCCAGCCTTTTTGACTCTGTCTTCAAAAAAAGCTGTCTACGTTTGGTGTCGTTTTCACACCTCAAGAGTGCTAGCATACTTTTGCACGTCCACATATGTTTATCGCCCTCTCGTGGCGGCTCCACTGTCATCGCCCCTCCGCACCGCTTTAAAAGAACCTTCTCCAAACAACATTCAAACAAGCATAGAGAAAGACGGCGTCACAGCAGCACGAAACTGATTTAAAAATGCAAATGCAGGTTCGGCCGAACTCCTTTCTACTGTTTTAAATACTCCCTTCGAAACAGCTCCGTCTGCACTGTCTCAAAAAACAACTTCTTCTTCTACTTCTTCTGATCTCCTCCTTTTAATCTCCTCTTCTTTCAACCAGTAATTTCTGGAAAGAAAAGCCTGGTTGACGGATTATGAATCAACGTCAACTTCTTCTTTTTTTAAAAGAGATAACTTAAACTATTCTTCTGTTGTGAAATTGCGTGGGGTCAGAGATTCAGAGAGGAAGAAAGTCAGGGGGGAGCGTTTGATCTCCTCCTCCTGTCTCTTTCCCCACCGTTTTCCCTCCACTCCGCAGTTGCTCTGATCCAGGAGAACCTTCCCAAGATGGCGCTGGACTTTGTGATGGCCTCACTGCATGTTGGCCCTTTCTCCTTTTAATCCATGTTCACTGCTGCGTCCTCCAAGCGATTCTGCACTAAAATCGAATTCAACCTTCTTTTTAATCTAGGTTCCCCCCCACCCCATTCTTCACTAAAATCGAGTATTGGAGGTGCCGGGCCCCCGGTCCATCAAATTGACCATGACTAAGAACAGGGCGTTCTCGGTGGCGGCTCCTATCTGGTGGAATGAGCTCCCAGAGGAGATCAGGGCTCTGCGGGACCTAGGACAGTTCCGCAGAGCCTGCAAGACGGAGCTCTTCCGCCAGGCTTTTGAATAGGAGCCGCCGCCACCACCAGTATACCATCAGTGTAATAGCACATTATCGACGCCCTGGAGGACATCTGTACATGGGCATGGACTATCAAAGCCCTAAATATTCTTTTTCGCATCATGGGCAAGACTGGGACGTCTAGAAGACCACCATCTTGTTTTTAGAGAGCTCTGCTTTAGATTGGTTATAAATTATGATGTAATTTTAATATTTATATCGTTTTTACTGTTTTATGGTTTTATCAACTACATGTTGTTAGCCGCCCTGAGCCTCCGGGGAGGGCGGGATATAAATGCCAAAAATAAATAAATAAATAAATAAAATAAACCTGTGTTCCCTCTAAGCTGAGTTAGTGTGAGCTCGCTCACAGTTTTTTTAGCCTCCGGCTCACGCATTTTGGTCTCGGCTCAGGGAGGAGGGCTCCGGAGCAAACTGTTTTATGCAGCAGCCAAATCGCTCGCTCACAACTTTAATGCCAGCAGCTCTCGAAGTAGAATTTTGGCTCACAAGACCCCACAGCTTAGCGGGAGCCTTGAGTTCGACCTTCTTTTTATTCCATCGCCACCGCCCCCCCCCCCCATTTCTGCATTACCTTCCCTCCAGTGGTCCACCCGGTTTCAGCCTGCTGTCGCCCCGGGTTATTGGGATGCTGTTTTGCGGTGGACTTAAATTGCCTCAACTCGGAACACTGAGAAAATGCAGAGTGGCCGACCAGTGCGGAAAGGGCCAGTGTCTAAGCATCTTTTTCCCTTCCAGAAGCTCACTTATGTTATCTTTTCCTCTCTCTTCCTCCCTTTCCAGCCGCAGTACACCAACCTGGGGATCCTCAATAGCATGGACCAGCAGATCCAAAATGGCTCCTCCTCCACCAGCCCGTACAACACAGAGCACGCGCAGAACAGCGTCACGGCACCCTCGCCCTACGCCCAGCCCAGCTCCACCTTTGACGCCCTCTCGCCTTCCCCGGCCATCCCTTCCAACACAGACTATCCGGGACCTCACAGCTTCGACGTATCATTTCAACAGTCCAGCACGGCCAAGTCTGCAACGTGGACGGTAAGCCAGTTTCCCAGCCACTGAGTTGGGCCTGCCTTTGTGGTCGTTGGGGGGGATCGTAAGAGGAGGTAGCCAAAGCTAAAAACTTGCCGGAAAGTGTGTCCACAGGGGGAAAAGCAGGCTGTGGGTAATTATTACTAGCCGGCAAGTCCAGAATGCTGCAGCTCGACTATTAATGGGAGCTGGACAGGGCAGGCATGTTTCTCCCATACTGTAGATGCTCCATTGGCTGGCTATCTGTTACTGGGCTCAGTTTAAGGTATTGGCTATCACAGGCTGTGGTCACACGGCAAGCGTGCCGCGATTCGTTCCCGCTGTAGATTTGATCGGGGATATTTTTAAGCGGGTTCAGAGGATCACACATCCCTTGCCCAACAGCTCACTTTGCGCGACAATGCTTCAGGCACTGTCCAGAGAGGGTTTTTAAAAAAATTATCTGTGCATGCGCACATATGGGCACATGCACATATGCGCATGCGCACAATGGAGAAAGTCACACACATACAAAAACTACCGGAAGATGACGTAATTGCAATCATTGCAAAAGACGGCTGTCCAGATAGGCAGATCGTGGATTCAAAGCGCAAGTACCCGGAAAGTAGTTGATTTCCCCAGTGTCAGAAAACATACTAGGGGGCTTCCGGTCGGGGAAAAAAATGGCGATCTGACGCACCTTGCAACCGTGCAGGGTGGACGGGGGCTTCTTCTGACAGTTTGGGCTATTTTACAGCCCAACGCAACCGGGAGGATCGTGTGAGTGAGCCCGCTTCGGTGCGGGAGACGGATGTGGGCGTCTGGTCAGCAATTTTAAATGCGAGAGGGAACAGCGGTGAAGCCCAATCAAAATGACCGTCTGACCACAGCCCCATACAGAGCCCTCCATGGCCTTGGTCTCTCATGTTTGTGCGACCGCCTCTCATGCCTCACCAAGACACCTTGGCTCAAGTCAGCAGGGGCTTCTACGGGTGCCAAACCGCAGGGCTCTTCCAAAAAAAAAGTCCGTATGCAGCAAGTGCTTGTGCCGGTGGTGGAAGGAACAGCCTCCCCTGAGGCCTTGAGTGACATTCGCGTTCTAGCAGGGGTCATTTCGTAGAAAAAGAGGTGCAGGAGCTCATTAGCATAACTCATTAGCATAACTCATTTGCATATGCCACACCCCCTGACATCACCGGAAGTGTGTCAGAAGGCAACCCCCCCCGCTCAGGCTCCCCTGGCCTGTTTTGAATTGCTAGGTATTGGGGGGGGGGGGACGTGCAGATCTGCCCTCGCAGAGGAGGGAGAGCTTGTACCTGAACAAAACTTGGTCTTAAAGGTGCCACTGGACTGTTTTGGATTGCTAGCTATTGGACGGGGGGGGGGACGTGCAGATCTGTCCTCGCAGAGGAGGGAGAGCTTGTACCTGAATAAAACTTGGTCTTAAAGGTGCCACTGGACTGTTTTGGACCGGGGGGGGGGCGGGGAAAGCTCTGCAACTTGCCTGGCTGCTTCTTGCTCTGACTGAGGGCTGCTGGGAGCAGGGGGTGGGGCTTGTTGCATGTGCCCGCCCCCTGGGCTCTTTACTGCCAGAGCTCCGCTCCTGTGCGCTCCTGCAGGAAACGACCCCTGCTAATAGGTATGCTAATGAGCTCCTGCACCTCTTTTGCTATGAAATGACCCCTGATTAAGAGCACCCCTTTGCAGCAAGCACGCAGTATCCTCCAGTGGAACGAAAGCCCAGTGTGTCCCACTGTGGTGGGCGGTGTGGACCACTCCCGCAGTCCGTGCTGTCTTCAGCTTGCTTTGTTTGCAAAACTGTTCTTGTTGCTTGGGTGTGTGGGGAAGTTAAACTAGTTTACAATAAAAGACCGGATATCATTGGCTATGAGGAAAGGCTGAAGAGTCCGGGACTTTTCTGTTTCGAGAAGAGACGGTGGAGGGAGGATGCGATTGGGGTTTACAAAATTCTGCGCGGGGAGAGATTGCTAGCTATGGGGGGGGGGATGTGCAGATCTGCCCTCACAGAGGAGGGAGAGCTTGTACCTGAAGGCGGGCCAGGGGGGGCTCTGCAACTTATCTGGCTGCTTCTTGCTCCTCGTGGCCCAACTGAGGGCTGCTGGGAGCAGGGGGCGGGGCTTGTTGCATGTGCCCCCCCCCCCGGGCTCCTTACTGCCGGAGCTCTGCTCCTGTGCGCTCCCGCAGGAAATGACCCCTGGGTTCTAGAGCCGCCTTGGCTACCAGCAGCATCCCTCCCAGGCCCGCTGTGGCTATGCTGCGATCTCCCCCCGGCTCCGTGACATCGTGCAAATTGGCCCCAAGTCAGAAAGCCTTAAAGTCTTATCGGGCTGCCAACGTTGACTGTGTTTTGTTTTGTTTTTTTTGTCTGTGCTGCATGCTGTGACTCCCGGGCTGACACATGCCTGTCACCCTCCTTTCTCCCTTGACGACGCTCCAGGAACCAACCTGATGGGAAGGGTCTCTTGGGTTACAGTGACCCCATTAAAAGTTTAACTGGGCGAGGCCCCGCCCTTGCGGAGAGGCCCGGATTCCGAAGCGCCTCTTTCTCCCCAGTCTCCCAGAGGCGTTGGCACGGAGGCGGGCAGGTTACTTGGTGCTCCTCGGTTCTCCCCAGCCTCCCAGGCCCTGCCGGCTTTGCTGGGAACGGGCGTCTCTTGTCGGCAAGATCATCGCGTTCTCGGCAGGGATTGTACAGCCAAGGGAAACGTTTGGGGGAGGCTGCGGGCTGAGTCACGGTGTGCTTGGCTCCCCAGGGCTGCAGCCGGGGTGCAGAGAGTTTGGCAGCTGTTGCCAAGGGAGAGAGAAAAAGAGATGCAGATGCAAAGAGATGGTGTGGTTCCTCTCCTGTTCCAAGTAATACCGGTTTGCCTACACGTGGTGTAGTTGTTCAAGTGTCTGGCCTTGAGCGCCATTCTCACGTTACAGTGAGCCCAGTCGCAACCTACGTGTTGCATGTGTACGCCCATTCATAAGAAAGAGCCAACCTGTGTCCACTTTACTTTAAAGGTTTAACAGTGTTTCCTCTAAGCCGAGTGGGTGTGAGCTAGCTCACAGTTTTTTAGCCTCCGGCTCACACACGTTCGTCTTCGCTCAGGAGGGATGGCTCCAGAGCAAACTCATTTATGCGGTAGCCAAATCGCTCGCTCACAACTTTAATGCCGGTAACTCACAAAGTAGAATTCGTGCTCGCCAGACTCCACAGCTTAGAGGGCGTATCCCGTACATGTGTTGATTATAATGAGGGAATTACTCTGTGCTCCGTATAAAGAATAGTCGAGCATATGCTCTAATCAGGTTGTACCTTGTGTTCACGGTAATTTGTGAATGGGACTTTGGGCCACCTGGGTTCAGGTACACACTCAGCTATGAAGCTTCTTGGGTGTCCTTAGGATGGTCAGTTTCTCTCTCGACCTACCCTACCTAACAGGGTTGTTGTACGTAGAAATGTGAAGGCCTCGGGGAAAAACCTGCAAAACCCCCCCCCCCAATTTCGGTGATGGTGTGGAAATAGTGCATTTTGCCAGTGTTTTTCTCAGGACTTTTTTCTTACAAAAGAATTTGGGGAAACAAACTCCAGTGAAATATTTTTTTTCCTCTGAAATGGTTGAAATGTTTTCTAAGGTGATGCTTTACTCTCTCAGAGAATACGTCATGGGAACGTCTGAAGTTCATTTATTTTTATTTTTGTTTATATATTAAATGTATTAATCACCCAATCTCTGCTAGTGCCGAGCTCTGGGCGATGTGCAGCCGTCTTAAGAACATGTCTCAAAGCAATTAAAAACATTAATAACACATTTCAAAAAGAGGTCAGATGGTGAAAACTAATGAATCCAGTTTCAGACTGCCGGCCACTTTGCAGGCAGGGCAGTGAGAAGCTTCAGTTTTGAGGATGGAAAAATCGGAAAATTTGGGGGAACCCTAAAAAAATTTAATTGGGGCAGCCCTACAAAAACAAAATCTCCTAGGGAATATTTCTTTTCTTTTGAAATAAACGAAATAAGCAAAGCATGCATCTACTTGCAACTACCTCGCTTTAGAATTTAGAATTGGGTGAATTTGCTTGTTGAAAACTAAGGGGTTTATGGTTTTAATTCCATGGATATGCGAACTAATGCAAACTACTGCATTTTCTGTTAAAGCAGCAAGATCAGTTTAGGGTTGGGTTTTGCTTTTTTTTAAAGATCTGTTTAGGTTTGATAGGAAAATAAGTATTGCATGGGTTTCAATTTTTCCCAACTAAAACGTATGTAGTACGCAGAACTTGGATGCATGGAAAGGTGCGGTCTCTCCTCCTCTTCCAAAACAAACAAAAATTATACTAGCCTCTCTGGTTTGATAAGGGACAAATGCCATGTTACCACCTCTCTCTTTCTGTGAATCATGAATCATGAATCTGATCTTGAACCTTGAATCTTGAGAGCCAGTTTGGTGCAGTGCTTAGGAGCCTGGACTCTAATCTGAGAGAACCGGGTTTGATTCCCCACTCCTCCACATGCAGCTGCTGGTATGACCTTGGGTCAGTCACAATTTCTCTCGGAGCTGTTCTCTCAGTCACAGTCCTCTCAAGAGCTCTCTCAGCCTCACCTCCCTCATAGGGTGTCTGTTGCGGGGAGGGGAAGGGAAAGGAGATTGTAAGCCACTCTGAGACTCCTGCGGGTAGTGAAGGGTGGGGTATAAATCCAATCTCCTCCTCTTTTTTTTCTTCTGAAGCAGAGTGATGGGGTTTACCACTGGAAAACCAGCAGTTGGAGTGGAAGTTCCCTGGAAACCTCCTGAGCCCGCACGTGGGGAGGGCGGGGTATAAATCGAAGAAATAAATAAATAAAAATAAACCATGTTAGAAAAAGAAAAAGAAAGGACTCAGCGGAGCTGATGGGAGAATGGGCAGATAAGGGCGTGTCTCTCACCGTTTGTGTGAGGTCTTTTACAACCCGAAGCAAAGCCGAAAGCGGCTTTCAAACGGGTGCCGTCGTTTTATTGTGGGATTCTCGGACCTGCCGAAT